TTAGCAATCAATCTAAAGACTGCATCTATTGTCAGAAAATATTTACTTACAAAGAGGTGCTAATTTTACAAAATTGACTTGTATTGTTTAAAGCCGATACCACATCGCACGACTATGTCTATTGTTTACAAATTATTATCCACGACTGGCAGGATGCTTGTCGGTCGGTACGTAAGTATAATAACAATATGACGACGCGTTTCCGTGGTGGTCGCTAATTTTGAGTGCCGGTCGGGCCGACCAGCGTGACGAGATCCCCAATGAAAAAAGCACTGTGGCGGTCTTGCTAATCACCGTGGCGGTGTCAGACCGGTGTGGCGGCAAATCGAAGCACTGTGGCGGGACCGCCACGCTGTTTACATCCTGGGGAGAACACTGTTGTATTTGTGGAGAACACTGAGGTTTAAATATTTCCTCCACACAGTTTACCTTTTGAAACATTGCAAATCAACAGCTTTTAAGGGGGAAAATCACCGTTTTTTCTTCAAGATCAGGTTAACAGGTCGCATTTTAACATCGTGGTATGCACTTCTGCATAGCATTGACAAAATTAAATCATCAATAATCAGAAAAATTTTTTTTAGTATGCCACAGCATTTTGATTGGTTGATGAAAGACATGACCTATTAGGTCAAAGGAAGTTGTTTCAAGTCAAATCATGACAAAAAGCATCATGGCGGAAATTTCTTTGCATCGAGAGTTTGCGTACGATTGAAAACATCCCACAATGAAGATAATGATAAAGATCCTGCCTTCGACTGTTTTCCCACAGACCATACATCAATTTTTACACCGTAAATTCAAACGGTATGTAAATCGTATGGTAATAAAATGTATGTATTTTTATGGACATGTTTCTTTATTGTAAAAGTATCAGGGAAATGAATGCCTCGTTTTGCATTTTTTTTACTTCAAAAAGACGTAATATTTCCCAAGCCCGGTGTGGTAAACGAATGATGTAATTTGAGTAATATTTCTTTGGTGGCATGATGGTTACAATGTTAAACCAAAACTAAAATCTTCTTTTCTGAGGTGGTCCTAGAATACAAGCCCACCCTATACTTTTCATGATTTTACATGTTCAGGCCCCTGGGCTTATGATCGGTGGTAAAGTATGGTAAATGTGAATGTGACAAATACAACGCATGTAATATACATACCGTGCTGTTTCAAATCGGGACAGAGTTGGATTTGAATAAAATACCTACCTTGATTGATTTCAGATATTGGCACGTCTGTCTGTTTTCGTGACGCTTCATCCTGTGCGACAAGTGTCATTCGGTCCTCCGACGAGTCCAAATCAGAAACTGCTATTGAAAGTACTCTACAAAAATTTGCTAGCTGCTGCTGATCAAAACTGTCTACAAGGCCTTTTAAATTGGCTGTAAATAAACACAAGTCAGTCAGAAGAAAACAAGATTTTTGGATATCTTTTGAATTCCACCAGTCTGACATTACATTTCGTGTATCTTTATTACAAATTGAAGCATTTCGTGTTGCTGGGAAGCAGAGTTTGGGGTAAAAGTAAATATAATGACACAGTAAATCATTGTCATGAAACTGGTGAAGTGAGATTAAATAACTTAAATAAATGTAATAAAACATGCATGGCTACTCCTTCAAGACAATCAAAAACAATAATGGAGGTAACAGTAACATTGAGAAGACAGTTCAATTTACATTTATAATAACAAGCAATAACATCATAATCATGATTACTTACTTATTTCATCTAATCTGACCATTTGTTGTCTATTTCCAAGTAAATCCTCCATCAACGTTGCTGCACTTAAAAAGCATTTTCTTTCCCCCATCAATGTAAATAAATAAGGCATCAGATCATCTCTTTCTGATAACTGAACTGCAATTTTTGTCATCTGTAGAGCAGATTGGATATTTTATCAATTGCTTTAGTGAAATAAAGTCAATGCCAAGTGTGTATTCTAAAATTCACATGGCTAAAACAGGTGTGTTATTAACACCCCCCCCCCCATCTAAATATTTGTGTACATGTGGATGTGAAGTAATAGAAAATGCATTGAGTGTAAAAAAATATAAAACGTCTCTGCATAACATAGACAACTTTTAAATAATGCAACAGCCACCAGAAAACATATCAATAAAAACTGTCACATGACACATTAATATGTGCATCTATAATTATATTTGGTACGATCATACACACTCTACCCAGGGTTCTCCACGAGGGGTTATAACAGGGCGCGGCGCCCTGTTATCTGAAATTGGCGCCCTGTTTAAATTGTCAACGCCCTGCATGGTCCCAGAGAAAGAATTGTTTATAAAACAGACCATCACTCAATGTCTTCCGAAGATGATTCATCATGCTAAGGATACATTGTAATTGGTTCATTGTTTGAAGGTGCAACTGCGAAACTTACGGCTTGTTATCGTAGCAGGTCACCCTGAGTTGATAACACTACCGAACAAAAAGTTGCAAGTTTTTTAACACGATTAAAATTAAACAGTGGCCTAAAAACGCGTATAACCGTACCTGTATTTTTACTGCCAGGGTGACATCAAATAAATAAAATCGATATCGGTAAAACCATTCTTTGAAACATAAGGTCTATGGTTAAAACCAAGTTTGATTCGTGACTTGTAGCGGCAACATCGTCACCGACGAGCGGAACAATAGCAGCCATGCACTTGCATGATCGGTAAACGACCAGTGCAGCTGACGTACCATCACAGACATTGCTGATCACCAAGTCCACATGAATTGCTTGCTTAAACACGTAAAATTTTGACGAACATCACTATTCAAAGTTGAATCCTCTTTAAATCACGATTTAAAAACTCTGGTAAAACGACCATGCTTTCAACTTACATCATAAGTGGAGGAAATAAATTTACTAGTGTTCTTCTTGGAACAAATATTCTGATTGGTTATTTTTCGTGTCAATGCGTGTCTTTATCCAATCAAATGCGTCGTTACACAGTATCAGGGTGCACACAGTAAAATGAACTGTTTTCGGGTCATAGCTGTTTTCAACAAAGCATACATAATGCTATTATTTTTGCTAGAAACTTAACTGCAGATTGAAAATCTTCTATTGTGTAGATTTTATTTTGTTTGATCATCTTGCTTTTCGGTGCCGATGACGTACATTCATGCAAGTTTTTTAATGAACCAATTACGAACGTTTGTGCGACAACATAAATTTGATATTGCTTTATCCGAATAATTAAAGATCCCAATTTCTGCATGTATGTATCTATTTGGTAAATCAACAAAATAACAAACTTGTTTATAGTTTTTTTCTAGAAGCGATCATTATTGGTAAACAACTAATGTAGCCGTGATAAATTGTGGAGCTAAAATTAGCTGATTGCATGTCGTCATATTTACTTAATATCTCTTCAATGTTCTCATTCATTTATGGAAACTACTTTAATATATATATATTATATTTATTATGAATATGTAATTGTACAATTATAGATTTTTGGTTTCCATTTTTTCAACATCCATGCCAATGATGAACGTTCCAAAATGTCGAAGGTCAAGTGCCACGCCCACTCTACCTTCACATTGGCGCACCATGTTCAATTTTCAAACCGTGGAGAACCCTGCTACCATAAAACATGTAGCTACTCTCATTTAGGAAAGTCCAATTTTCGGATAATTTCTTATTCAGCACACAGACAGTGATACTTACATTTAAACATAAGTGATGTAAAACATCCAGACACGTACAAGCTACAGACTTCATAAATTCTACAGGAAAAAAAATCACAATATAGTGACAAAATAAAAGGTATTATGTAATGTACATCCAATTAACATTATAAATATTCTTTTTTTTATAATTTAATAGAAGATAATAAGATAGATGTGTGATTTGATTTGAATATACATACAAGGAAAATAAATACCTGTTGACTGTGACTTGGCAGTATTGACTGGAAAAAGTGATGGCCTTAATAGAATTTGTAAAACCAGCTGATCAGAGAAAAAAAGAAAGAAATTCAGTATATACAGATACATTATTTGTTATATTAATAGCATATGTGGCTCATTATGATCAAAATTATATTTCAATGATTCAGTATGCAACAAATGCAATATATGGTTTTTAGTGCTTCTTCAGTTTTTGTCTGATATACCACCCCCGTCTGTTACTTTTTGGTTGCAAATATCATTTTTACAGTTTCAATTTCACATAATTTACAGAAGAAATTATTAACATGGCAGATTTAAGGAAAATTAGAAAAGAACTGAATACTACTACACTTTATTTTCTAGATATTCAACTTTTCGTCAGTATTATGTAGTCCGCCATCTTGTTTCTCCAGCAAAAGATCGAGGGTAAAGTGTGACATCATATCCACTTTTAAAACGATCATGCACAGGTTCGTGGGCCGGTTATGAATGGCCGGCTTTAGGGAAACCGCTTGATTCAAACGATGCACAAAAGTGGATATGATGTTATTTTACCCATAATCCTTTGCTGAAGAATCAAGATGGTGGACTACATAAACTGATAAAAAGTTACATTTGCCAAGCTTTTTCATCATCATTTGGCACTGTCGTATGCAAATTAGCCTCAGTGATCTCCACAAACAATTTTAAAATACAATGTGTCGCAGCTGACCATACAATGTGTAAATCTATCTTACCATCCATCGACACGGGAGAGTATTGATGTACTG